CTTCAAATACGCGACTAATTATTTGAAAATTTTTGGTAAAAGAACGAAGTGAATCGGATGGCTAGAAGGCGAAATAATCGAAAAAATAGAATAAGGCCCTAAGAGATCCTGCGCAGATGGTCAAAATCCGGTTTTCAGACATTCCCTTGATAGTTAGGGTTGCGCACACCCCGGAAAAAGCAGCTTAGCTGTCCCCTCCTCAAAAGAGTTATGGTATAGTTAGGTACTTTTTAAAATTTTTGACATCACCCTTTTTTTGGCCCCAAGGGTTGTTAGTTGGGTAATAGATAATGTCCAACATGACTGGAAGTATTATGGGGCTATGTGCTGGAATGTTTTTAAATATATGTAGGTAGTTGGTCGGCAGTGAAAATATTCATACATGTTTTGTTTATCATCGACAAAATATAAATGCAAGTTTGAGCTTGTTGTTTTTGCTAGAATGGAAACGCTCATCAGTTATAAGTAAAAATAACCGTGAAATATGATACCCTTGTTTATAAAATTCCCACATTAAACGTCGGCGGCAGTCACGAATTTTCCTTATTTACCACTACATCATCCTATATTAGGACACATCGAACTTTACACTATGTACGCTAGATGGCGCCAACGATCACGTCATACGATGAAAATATTCACAGACACCCTGATGACGTAACGCCTATTATTGTCACAGGTTATATTGTTTATTCTAAATAAAAATAGTTTATCAGTATTGCGGCAGGACGGCTCAAGCAGTGCAATTTCCTATGTGACGCGATTGCTTAATTTTTGGTTTTGTTGGTGAACATGTTGATGTAATTTAACAATATATTATTGATAGGAAATGAATATTTGAAGCAAAAATTCTAGGAAAATCCTTATGGAAAAAACTTGAGACGGAATTATTTTGCAAAAAAATATTTGTATAAATGATGAGTCATGTTGATAATAATAATAACTGTAATAATACTTACGCTTTTGTTAACTCCAACACTGATATAGAAATAGGCGCAATCCAAAAGTTTACTGATCACTTTCAACAAGTCACTCGAACAAGCAGCGATTTTGATTTGAATACTAGCGAAAGCGTTGTAGCTATTAATATGATGTAAATAATAATAAAAAAAATCTCCGGCTTGTTGTCGCTTGTCTCTTATATTGAGACGAGAGACCTCAGCCTTCGGATTGGTTAGAGACTGGTTAGGACTTGCTTATCGCAGGATGCCAGCGTAATAAGCAACAATAAAATTAAAACGATGGCCCATATTTCTAGGAAAAGTTCGCTAGAGTGTGCAGGTGGATACGAAGCTGGTGATTGGCTACAGACTAGTCAGAGCTTGTTTATCGCAGGTCACAGGAAAGTAACAAGTTAAGGTTTCGCTGCGGTTGCAATAAACGTTGACGACCCGATGGCGAAACGATGTTTTTATTATTAGTTACGTCATCATCAGACCCGATGGCTAAATGACGTTTTTATTATTAGTTACGTCATCATCAGACCTGATGGCGAAACGACGTTTTTATTATTAGTAATGTCATCATCAGTACAATGCACCTTGAATGAGGTACCAAGTCACGAGCGGTCAATGACCCCGAACGCAGCGGCGGCTGACCAGTTAGTGCGACCGATGAAAGACACGGGCACTGGCAAGGGGGCGGGGCTTAGTCGCGGCTGGCGGGCTGGACGGATGACCTTGAACGGTACAAAAATTGCCAAATCGGACCTTAGATTTTCTTATGGAGATTTACATGGGAAAATGGCTGATTTTGCGCTCGAACTGTCCTAGCCCCTTTACTCTTGTGTAAAGAACAAAACCGTTGGGTTAGCTTCACAACTGAAATCTCTTTTCCAACATGTATCTTACCCTGAATAACAAGGCCGTTTTGTCATTTCCTTGTCGAGGACGCTCATAACTTTTTTACCCACTAAGAATTATAACCTAGTCTTTATTTCCTGTATCTTTTAATCCTTAATTTCTCATGTAACTTGTACCATCAAGGAACGCCCTATACAGGACGCTCATTAATTTCACTCCCTATCATTCCAAAAGCTCTGTATGTAATTTCTTTCATTTCATTTCAGTATAACTTGTTGATAACTTACTGTATATTATTTGCTTTTTTTTCATTTCCTTACCAAGTTTTACCAGTTGTTCAATAAACCATTGTTAGAGTTTAATAAAAAAAAAACTGATTCTTTTATTTCCTTTGGAAAACCCCGAGCTAGCATTCTAACTAACTGCGTACAGCTCAGGTAGCAAGAACCCGCACTGGAAGAGGCGATCTAATCAGATTACTAAAAAGTATCCGTTCAAAGTTACCTAGATTTTTAGTGGGACTTTAAACAGTGGTGGCACGCTACCGCAGTACAAAAAAGGCCCTTACCAGTGCTAAAACAAAGTCTACCTTACCCAACCGTCACAATCAGGTGGCGGTGGTAACAATTACATACACTCTTTGTTAGTTTGAAAATCGATGTTGTGCTGGCCATTTCTTTTATTTATAAATTCCAATTTGGATCTTATAAAATAAAAATTAACGCTGTAGGTATGTTTAGTGTTAAGATTATGGCAACATTATTTGTTACTTTCATAGTAGGTATTTTCCCAAGCTTTGAACTTTTACTTAGTAACTCAGTCTCCTTTATGTTTGATACAAGATACAAATCATTCTGATTCGAAAGCTAATAGATATCAATCAAATAAATTTGGCAACACTATCTAATAATTTATGAAACGGTCCAGCGTTGCCAAATACCTACTGCAGATTGTTAATTCTTCATACTTCTTTTTTTTTGACAGATCTGGGCCATGAACTTGTACCAATGACCGTTGGTACCAAAATGCCCGAAGTTATAGAGGGCAGTGTATTATTAACCGGTGTGTATACTCTACCAGAAGAACCAGAAAATGAGGAAAACTGCGAAGGAAATACTGAAATGTAAAAAATCATTATATAAAATCTAGGAAATTGTTTTTTTTTATATGAGTAGGTCAATACAATCACGTCGACGAAAAGAATGATATTTAGTGACAAACGACAGGGAATTATGAATTATTTCTCAAAATAGATTTGTACCGATTGTTTTTAGGAATCCTTAGGGCTTATCCTTTTGAAAAATTTTCGTTAAAGGCCCCTTAAGCGCCAAGGATTCCCCAAACAAAATCGCAATTGCATTCATGCATAAAATAGCTCAAATTTGTAAAATCAAGGAAGATTGAAGGTATAAAGGGCCAAATTTCCAACTGTTTATTAGACGCATTAGTAAACACAAATTGCTCCCACTACTACTTCTAATTACCGAAAGGCAAATTTCGAGAAATTACACTTAAACTGGCTTTACAGTCGTTAATTTAAATGGTTTGTGTTGCACTCAATTTGAATTCTGGCGGTTAGATGAGGCAAAAGTGGTGCAGCAATTTAAATTAAAGTTGCATTTAATAGTGCTGCAAATGGAGAGTTTTTATTATCACAATCTAAATTCGACCTCATGATTTTAATTTGTAACTGGCAACAACGCAATATTATAACTCATCAAAAGAAACTGCAGAGATGTCAGATTTAGTTTAATGTATTAGATTTTTTATATTGTTAATATTTAATTATTTGTTTTTGTACAGGTGTAAATAGTGTAAACTGTAAACTAAAAATTTTAGAGTTTCTCTAAATGAACTTCCAAAACCCTAAAGAAAACCCCCACAGAGTTGAATGAAAATTCTAAATAATTGCATTTCAAGGAATATTTGTAAAAAAAAAAACAAATTTGCGAATAAAATTTGTAAATAAAATAGAAAAATAAATCATTTTTAAAACGAATAGAGAGAAATGTTATAACTAGTTTTTTTTTTTTTGGTTTGGTTAAAGCAAAAATTCAACCTTAAAAAACTACAAACTTGAAAGTCCCAAAGAATTGTATTGTTCAGCGCCCCTTTTCTTATTTTGTATTTCTCCAATTTTAGGATTTGTTTGTTTTTCTGCATTTTACTTTCTTCTGCCAACAATCAACTTACCTGTCATTGTGCAGTGAAGGAAAAACACTATGGCATCGCACCCCATTGCTGCCAGATTGTTGCCAAACTATGTATCTCAGTTTTAACAGGATTGTTGAAGGTTGTAAAAGTGTTTCTTTTGTTTTAATGTGGTTCTGGCAACATTGGATTTACTTCATGTTGATACTAAAGTGTTTAATCCTAACATCCTAACATCTATTACTTTTGTCAATAATAAGCATGTTTGAATGTTCGTTTTGTATTAAAGGACAGAATAATATACCAATCGCTGGTAAATGTTAAACATTTGTATAAAATAAATTAATTGAATAAATAAATGATTTTGAAAACTGATTAAACAGACTTTTTGTTTTAACCGAGACAAATTATCTCATGATGTAACAACACGAGGGAATAGTCGAGGATGACACCTTTATACCTGTTTTCGGAAGAATGAACGAATGCGAATGAGATCAAGAAAGATGTTTGAGAGCCGCGGGACTGTAAACGAACCACTTCCTGGGTTTTCTGGCCAGAGCAAGAAGGTACCCAAAATTGTGGCGGCGCCAACCAAAATACGAGAAAATGTATGGCTTTATTTTCTTTCTCTCTTAGCGCGAACTATTGAAAATTTCAAGTGACCAAAGCTAAATTAAAGTTGCGTATTTGCGTGAACAATACCGATTTATATAAGGAATTTCATTTGCAAAACCTCTTCATAATGTTCTAACTCTAAAGTGAGCTCTTAATACAGCCTTCGCTCAAGAAATGGGACAAACAAATGCCCATATGCCAAGCTAGATATCTGTCTACATATAGTCTAGAGGAGTTGCTCATTAAATTTAAAGAAGTTATTGTTCAATACCAAGGAAGAAAGAGAAATCAGGTTGATGGAATGGAAACAATCACTGAATAGATGTTTGTCATCCAGATAACTCAATATAATACAGCTTCTCCATAAACCGCTATACCATTCTACTTTTTTCGATAGATCTTGATAGTTATAGGAAAAAAACCTAAAATTAAGCAAATTTTATTTAATAAAATTCGAAAAATCGAACAAATTTAATTGACAGTCATTATATTTTTCGCAATTTTGCTGCTCCCAACCAGTAACTTCGGCTTCTCGGTACTCGAAAAAATAACTGTCGTTGCGTTCTTCTGATGCAGAAGGGCTGAAACAATGTTGCAATTGCAACTATCATTAGAGAAGAACACTCTTATAAAATCCTTACGTGAACAGTAAATGCATCAAATCTCCTACTATCCCATTAGCATGCAGTGTAGTGTAAGAGGCGGCTTCACATATAGCTTTCAATACACAATTTTTACCAGGGTATCCTCGTCTAAAAAAAAAAAAAACACCTCAATATTTCATTTACATGGAATAAAACCCCTTCTTTGAACCCAAAAAGATTCGAAAACAAAAAGGTGACATTAATATCCAGGGTCTTGTACCTTAAATAGGGTTTCCTCTGGGATCAAGAAAATAAATACGGTGACATCGGGAAACAAAAGGACACAATAAAGGTTTCCGACAGGAATGTTTGGGTACATTTGTTTTAAAAAATCGATAACCTTGTTTATTGTTTAATGGCCTAATCCCTAGCTCATCAAGGAAAAATTATTTTACCGCCTTTGTTTGTTGGCTATTTGGCTCTGCAATTTTAAAGTCAATGTTGGGAAAGAGAATGCTTCATTAAAATACTTAAGTATTTAACTTGAAATAAAAAAAATGCAAGAGGTCTCTCAAATCCATATCTGCCAGCTCATCATTTCTTTAGAGTGTCACTTTTTGATCAATTTGATGGAGCTTAAAACGTCTTACAAGCAAAAACAACTTTAACCTTTAAAACAACTTTAACTTTTAACTTTGGTTTAAGTTTGTAATCTACATTTCACTCTACAGCATTTACAATCGAGATAAACAAAAATATTTTTTTCCGCTGCTTCGCTGAAAATGATCAAAATCTATAGAATACTTGTATCCAATTGTAAAACAGGTTCATCAGGATAGAAGACAATGAAAGAGCAATCATCATGAAGTCGTAGAAAAAAACATAAGGTAGGGAACTATTTAGGAGGTACGTACGATTCTAGCTTCGCCTGAATCGATTCATAGATCGATCTCCTTCCGAAAGATCTGTCTACACTTGGAGGAAATTCGAAGCTGGTTTCATTATAAGGCAACAAGTAGTAAGCTTCAAAGAAAAAGGCGACGAAGAGATCAATGTTGCCCGAGTCCTGTACTGGAACTGCTACAGCGGCGTAAATCTGGGAAATAGAATTGTGAAAAAATTATCAAAATTTAACTTGCGGTTTTTTACAGATTGATTTTGAAGTAGTAAAATCACCCAAAAAACAAATCTATAGGTAGGTAGGTTGAAATACAGGGTGTACCATGTAAAACGAAACAGGCTGAATATCTGATGCCACGTTTATTTTTTTAAAAATCGCTCGTACACGTGATTTGATTTGGAAAAGGGGAAGTTTTCTGAAACAGGGTGGAACCAACCCTTACTATTTCAAATGGAACAAGGGGTTGAGTCATACCTACCTGTTTTAAAAGAGCGTTCAATTCTCTTTCATTTGCTGTTATTTGAAAGAAAATTTTTTGACAGTTCTAACAGCCAGTGAAATTTTTTCTTGTCATGTGACACAAATCACCCAATCATGTCAAAATTATACTGAAAACAGCCCATGGGTTGTTTTCACTCTATGACATTGTCACCATGCTTATGGCGCAATTTATTCCGCTAAAAGCTTGCGACTACAGACGGCAGAGGCGCTGTCGTCCAATGCTGTTGTCAGATTTATACATAAAAAGTACAGATTATTGTTTATTTGTTTAAAAAGCTTCCAACAATGGAAAAAAAAGTCGCGAGTTATAGACATGAACCGATAAGTAAACTGCCAATACCAGGAATATATTAGACGACTCAGCATAATCATAGAATAAGCATATTTTGTATTTTATTATTTCATAGGAGCTTTTTATATAGAATAAGTTTAGTCTTAAGTCACACACTGTACCAGTAAGTTAAGTCTCATTAAAATAAATCTTTTTTAAAAAGTATTCTACTGGTTTGAGTATTTAACTCGCGTAGGTACCTCGCTAACATATAATTGCCAGTAGTACAATTTGAAATTACATTTCTTTTTCAAAACAAATATCCCATGCTTTTGACATGCAGCGTCGCTTCACTTTTACTTTTTCATCATATTTTGACATATTCCATTTTTATTCAATAATTTGAATCAAAGATTGAAAATTTTCTCCGTTCAAAGCAAAATGGTTTTACCTTGTTGTGTGGCAATATGTGAAAGCGGAGGGAACAGAGTAAAAATGCATCAAATTCCCAAAAATGATGAGCAGGTATGTTTCAATCCCTATACATTATACCGAAATCGGGATTTTACCTCCTGTAATTTTACCACTGTAACTTTTCTTTCTATTTAGGTGTTTATTTTATGCCTGCAAAACGTTTACAATCAAAAAATCTTATTAATTGTAGGTAACTATTATTGATTGGATTGATATTATACTGTGGTTAATAAAGTAATTCAAAATTGTTATTTTTGTATTTAATACATGGATTAATTAGTATGTAACTCTTCGGTATGTGATCAAGAGACTGTTTACCATAATTTTATTTCCACTAGAAACGTATTAAACTGTTTAGTGCTAGTGGCAATAAAAAATGATTAACGGATCCTAAAGAAAAAAAATTAAATTCAAAAAGGAGCGCTTCCCGCGCTCTCAAGTTGAGGACTACACACGCGAGAGGGCGCTGTAATCAGGAACAAAATGTTTGTATTGAGTTGCCTATCCATATTATAGGTTCGAGAGAGTTTTGTATCCCTTATCTATGATTGTCACGGACATTGCTGTCAAAAAAATTTCTATCCAAATAACCCTCGAACATTGATAAATGCTCAAAAATTTCATAACAACTTCCTCAAGCTTGTTGCTAGCGCGTCGGTCTGTTTTCAAGCAACAAGCTTTCGAAATCTGTTATAAATTTTTTTCGGACAATTATCAATGTCCTTGGGCGATTACTACTGAAAATTGAACTCTCTTTTAAAAGCAGGTGTCAGTTGACCCCTTCTTCCATTTGGAATGGTAAGGGTTGGTCCCACCCTCCTCCTGGACGGCGATTCTCGAATCGTGTGATCCCTGTTCTCATAGGAAAAGTACGTGTATTTCTATTAATAGCTATTTACCTAACAAGTGCGGAAAATGAATTTTTCCGCACGCGGCTGCCGTTCACCGAACGACGCGTAGCGGAGTTCGGTGAAGCGGCCGAGTGCGGAAATAGTTATTTTCCTAACAAGTGCGCAAAGTGTTACTTTTCCGCACGCAAACACAGTTATACGAACGACGCGAAGCGGAGTTCGGATAAGTGTTTGCGTGCGGAAAAGACACTTTGCGCACGTGTTAGGAACAAAATTTTTCCTACGAGCTTCATATCAGGTAGGTAACAACAAAAATATTTAAAAAAAAAACGATAATTTGTTCAATTGTTTTCAATTAACTTGAAGCGAACCTATTCATTCATCAAAAAATTACATAACAAAAAAAACAGAAAATTGAAATCCTCGTCAGAGCTGTTTATCTTAAAGTGTTTAAATTTGATGCGAAAGAAGTTTGTAGATTCTTGCATGTAAATAGAGAACACAAATCTGACAATGTGTCAAAGTTAATTATATTCAGTGTTTGTATAGATGTTGGCTGATATAGAAACAGAGGAAAAATTTGTCATCATGTGTCAAAGTCGACAGGTGCACTTATTGTTGTTTGACAATTATTTTTACTTTTCGGCACTCAGTGCGGATAAGGCCCGTATCCGCACTGAGTGCGGAAAAGTGTAACTTTGAGAATCGTAATGCGTGCGGAAAAGTACTACTTTGCGCACGCTCGTAGGAAAAATATTTTCCGCAAGTGTTAGGTACAATATTTTTCCTACAGGCATAAAAATGTAAAATTTTTCTTTTTTTTTTTTGCCAGATCAGTGCGGTAAAATTTTTTCCGCACTGACAGCCGTGCGGAAAAACTTTTTCCGCACTGATGTGCGTGCGGTAAAAATTTTACCGCACCGTGCGGGAAAACTCATTTTCCGCACGCATATCAGTGCGGAAAATCGATTTTTCCGCACGGCTGTAGGAAAAATCTATTACGACGTATTCTCGAAATTAGGGACAGTTCACTTCCTATGAAAGTTGGGAGAATTTTATTCTACTACTTTTTTTGAAGAGAACGTCTGTTCTCGGGAGAACCAAACGTCAAACATGCACTTCTTGTCAATTCTAGTCATCATCCATGGTATTTTTTTGTTTGATGTGAACATCTTTTTTGAATAACACCTTATAAAATTTAAATTATTTTTGTGTCGCTTCGCTCGCCGAATCTCAAAGAAAAGATCCTCGGAAACGTGAATTCACCAACAACCTGAAAAACCTTTTTTAAATACAACACCTCAAAATTTATATTAATTTTGAGTTTTCGATTGCTCGCTCCACTCGCCAAATCTCAAAGAGAAGATCCTTGGAAGCGTGAATTCACAAAAAACATGAAAAACCTTTTCTTTGTTAGTTTCCTAGCTTACAAATGTATTTTAATAATTATTGGTGCTTCAAATAAGTTAGTGGACACCTATAAAAGGCAAACAACTGATAAAATATTATGGTTTTATTGAATCTTTATGGTAAAAATGACAAAATTACTGTCCGTAATGTCGACCGTAGCATTCCACTTTGAAGTTTCTCATTTTGCCTTACAAATTCAACGAGCATTTCTTTTTGAGTATTGAGTATGATTTATAGGTGAACATCTTGATTTTTCCAAATTCATTTTTCACATAAACAAAACAACACGAAAATAAAAATTGGAAATAGAATAATTAATGATTTGATTTTCAGTAAATAAATAAGCAAAGATAAGGTTGGTTACGTCCCAAAACACAAATAAATAAACTGATTTTCTTCTTTCTCATGACATTCGTCCTTTTAACGCATTAAAATTGTGGCTAATTCTACATATTACTGTTGGCAACAACGCATTATGATTTGACAAGTTTTCCCTCATTTTATCATAATCCCATACGTTCGAGAATACCTACTTTGGCACCAAGAGAACGAGCGTGCGATGTGATCTCTCACTTCTCTTAGGGGAACGTTCACTTCTACCAAATTCAAGAATCGACTACCTGGAGGGTTGAGTAAGTGCTGAAAATAGTTCAAACACTCACACAATCAAATTGCGTGTATGCGAGCGATTAAAAAAAAATAATAATAAATAAAAGTGACATCAAATATTTAGCCTGTTTCGTTTTAAATGGTATACCCTGTTGTATATCTTATCAATGGAAAGAAACAAGGAACGACTTATTTGCAATCGTACTTATATAACTTTCGGATAAAATATAAAAAAAAAATATAAGTAGTTATGCAAATATAATATAGTCTAGCACTAAAGTCACTTACCCCCATTCCTGATCCAGAAGGAAAATGATATTTCCAATTTTCAACAGAAGTGTACCCATCGTCACCATTTATTACATTTACACTGTATATAAGAAAGGCAACACCAAGAACATATCTAAAAAAAAAAAACACTAGATAAAAATTTGAACCAAAATTTAAGAATATTTTACCTTACATAAAGCTGAACATTTTGTCGCCTTCTCTACTTGATAATTTAAATGTGACATAACGCACCAAAAGGCACCGTTAAGAAAAGTGTTAAAAAATTAAATCAACACATTTGATTGGTTTAGTTTAAAAATAATTTACTTTCAGTGGCGTGGAATTAGCCTATGGTTCAACCTTCAACCCAAATGAAATATAATAAATAAGTACCTACCTACGTGCTATATATCAAACTGATGATTACGACTTGATTAGTAGTAGGTATACCTTACATCCTCACTTATAAAACTTCACCTTCCGCCTCTTTTCTATATGAAGCATCCTGCAAAATTTCTCACTTCTGCATTTCCTATCTGTGAATACATAGGCGCCGGAACCATGGGGGCAATGGGGGCTTGCGCCCCCATAGTGAATTTGCTATGGGGGCGGAGTGGGTAGGTACAAAAATACTGAGTTCCTAAATTTTTATTTTTGTATCAAACTTGTGTTTTTTATGTTTTTGTTATAGTTGTTATGTGTAGGTAGTATTTGAATCTGTATTTTCGATAAGTCGTTGCCTCGGTCGTTGCATCACATGGATATATTATGATGTACCAATACACTGGCTTTTTTCACCTAGTTTATCATGAAAAATGTATATACAGACCGGACCAACCTACTAGACACAAGGGGAGTATTGGGAGTATAATAAGACGAATTTGCTTGTACCCGGTTAAGGCGAATCGAATCGGTGCTGCTCACTGGCGTTGCTAGAGAGGGGGGCAAAGGGAAATTTGTCCCCTTCCCCTAAAGGCCTCTAAATTTTATTAATAATTCAAAATTAAAATAAACAAAAAAATGATTCAAGTCTTAAGCAGCGTTTTCCTAGCAACGCACATTTTACGCGGCGTAGGACGTAATTCGGTCGGCGTAAAACACTGAGGACATATCTAATGAAAATCAAATGGAAGCGTTTTCCTACACTGCGTAAAAACGACTTGCGCTAGCGTAATACGGTCGACGCAACTGAACGACTGCTCGGAGAGCAGTCTATTCAGTTGTACGCCGCGTGTTGCCAAAAAAAATGCTCCTGTTGTATTATATTTATATACCTCAATGTTAGGCCAAGCTTTTCAGGTGGTGGAATAGGATGTCGCACGCGATTACATGATTCCTTACTTAAATCTTTTCTCACAAGATCGAGGAGAAATGAGAATTGCTGCCTTGTAACTCTAAAATATGCTTTGACTGGGCTGTTTCTGCAGAAATCACAAACCAGTCAGAGTGAATTTCATTGGTTGAACTAGTTTTCTGACTGTTTTCAACCAATAAAATTCGCTCTGACTTGTTTGTGATTTCTGCAGAAGTAGACCCAATAATAAAGCCTCGAATAAAGCCAAAGCTAATTTCTTTATTGATATACTCATCACGATGATCGGGACGCAACTGACATTACTGACAATCCTAGGAAAACACTTTTACGCAGCGCATTGGATGTTGCGTTGCGTCGGCCGTATTACGTTCTACGCCGCGTAAAATGTTCGTTGCTAGGAAAACGCTGCTTTAGGTAAATAATCAAATACATGCAGAATATATTATAATAGGTTTCTTCCAACCCGTCCAAAAACCGTCCCAGAACGGTTTCGGAACCACTCTGTATACGAATTTCAGTTTTTACGCAAAAATTTTAGGTTGTGCGCAAAATCCTGACGGTAATATTACAGTTTCCTGCTGGGTTGGAACAAAGCTATCATATGTAAAATCTACTATACATTTTCCCCCTCTCCTCAAGACAAAATCCTGGCTACGCCAATGGTGCTGCTGAAACCGAGTATAGCCGAGCTGCCGAAGATGCACGAATATTGCATGGACGATGGATGATCCAGCGAAGCGATCCTGCAGTGCAAAGGGTATCTGTCAACTGGTCCTATTTAAGCAATGTGTCTAGTCCTGTCTGTATAATCAAATCTACCTATGTTAATTTTTGGAAACCAAGCCCCCATAGTAATTTTGAAGTTCCGGCGCCTATGTGTGAATATTATCATTGCTCTACAGCAACAAGGTTACTGATGTTTTTCCTGCCTTTCATTGGACGATATCATTTGACACCTTTATATTTCTTCATTCTCTGGCTCAGATTTTTTTAATTTCACGCAGTATCGCAATAAAATCAGAGACTTTCCTTGTATAGACCTATCTATTTTTACCTGGTATGCGCGCGCAACACGAAGCAATGCCTTTCTATTGGCTAACTAGTACAGGTATGAGGTGTTCGTTTTGCACGCTGGGCATCTCCTTGTCCTTGTTCATTGTCCGTGGTCTAACAAGAATGAAAGTACGATTGATATTCATCTTGACATAGCTTGACAAGCGACATTCAAAAGTTGTTTGAAATTTTCATTGACAAAATACGTTGCACAACGAGCGGTTTTTTTCCTTCCTTTTTTATCCCGTGCAAATAAAAAGCTCTGATTGCTATACGTAAGTCCAACATAATTTAGGTACGTTTTGCCTCGTCTTGCGCAATAAACGTTTTGTGTCTTTTTTTATCTACTGAAGTTTTCGTATTATTACCTCTTTGTCTGGTAAAATAGATAGGTCTATTGAACGCCTTATTATCGATCGATGTCCATTTTTGGCACTCTGGATCTTTGACACCACTTTACATTTCGTTCCAAATGATTATTTCAAGTTTTGCTTTAACCAGTCTCGCCTATGATCACTACCAATTTTATTCAATACAGTCTACTACAGTGAGATCTTGGTTACATAGGTACTTTTTTTTATAAGTCACAATAAGATTTTCTTCTTCATCGGATCCTCCGGGGTTGAACAGGTTCATTCACGGAATGGACCTTTTCTGAAAAAGGAGCTCATGGAGTTTAGTCTCTGGTGAAGGAAAAAACCCCAATAACAAAATTATTTCTCTCTGCGTATCCAGAAATATCCCGTCTCTGTAGAGTTGCTGCACATCTCTGCTATAACTAGCCTAAGCGTGTTGGCAAACATATACGAATCGGTCTTATAAAATGATTTACTCGAGTATTAATTGGGCAAGTTCTCCCTAAACAGCATGGTTTCTTGCCTGATTGTTCAACAACAACCCAACCAAAAGACAATCTACTACATACATAACTTACAATGTCGTTGACTTAGAGGTAAATATTGAGGGTCCCCTACCAGATCCTATAACATCATGTTATTGCACATGTAAAGTATTTGTTAGAACTCTGGATGTTTGTGTCATGTATCCCGCATTTTGTGGTATTTGGGATGCGGAAGGCACCAAGGAAATGAAGTGGATCATCCTTCAACGAGATTGTTGAATGTTGTTAAGAATAATATGCCCAAGATCGTCGTCCTGCAGCTGGACAGTAAACAGTATAGCTTTGGATGAGATAAAGGTGATATTAATAACCATTTTCAAGTGATCGATGTGTTGAAAGTTGTATGATTTTTTTTTTTGTTTTTTAGCCCGATGACCTAATTACTTTTTCCAATGACGACCTCACAAAGCATATTTTTCACCGTTTTGTGAAAATCAAGCTAGAATCGTTTTTGGAAAGGAACTCAGGTTACCTTGCGATCTGATGTTTGGAATACCCTGGAGAAGAATGAAAAGAAATTCGAGAATATGCCGACGAAGTAAGGGCACGACTTCTTGGGATACATGATAAGTGATAATAACTTAATTAGGTACTTTTCCCAATTACCAACGCACAAAGCATATTTTTGACAATTTTTTATTACTGTTATCTACGGCACTCGACTCAACACTGGATGAAAATTGTTGTATTGTAAGACCAAATATTCGTATCTATCATTATTTATCAGATAGAACTTATTTTTATCCTGATAAGTGATAACCTACCACCGCACAAAGACGATTTTTCACATTTTTCAGCCACTGGACTTACATACTAAAAATTATTTTGTATATCCGCCGCTGTTACTATTCATCAAATAAGTATAGGCTCATTTTAAGCGTCAAAATGCAAAAACAATGCAAAATTGTATTTTGATGGCCGTAACTTTGATATGCCACTGTAGCCAAACGGAGGGAGTCACCATATTCTAACTTACTTTTTTGTGAAGTAATTATCCATACCTACAACATATTAAAATTTAAAGAAAATCGTATGGTTCCGAAATTCTCATGTATCGGGTTGCGGGGTCCTTTTTCAATATCATTCTTACATCAATAATTCCTGAAAATTTGAACAGCCTAGCATTAGCCCTTCAGATGATATGAAAGGGGGTTGTTTAAAAAATAATTTCCAAAAAATCTTTTTTCAAGGTCATTCAACTTTAGAGCGCCACCCTGACTAAACGGTAGGTGATTGAGATGTGCTGTCGCTGGGTTAATTTGTAGAGAATTTAGTCCTCTTTAATTTGCTATGAAGGTATTTTTTTTGTAAAACTTAGCGGAAGCGCTACGTTTCGGAAAAACCAGAAAAAACGACCTTTATCCTACCAGAAAAATAGAAAACAGAACTTGTGTCGAGTTTGCGAGGTTCAACCTCTCCATAGGCGTATCCAAGGGGGGGGCTGCCGGGCTGCCCCCAAGGCAAATCTAGACTATTTTTTTCCCAGCGTATTTTTTGGGACATGTTAATTCTTTGTATAAAGTAAACAGAAATAAAATTCATTTCTTTCTTTAATAAGGTTTTTCTATGCCGGGCGCCTAATGCAGCAAGGGAATCAGTGCTTCATCTTCATTATCCTGAATGTCCGAAATACTTCCTTCCTCAGGGGCTCAATTCTCGTCTCAGGGAGTAGAGCAGTAGAGCTCCCCGATAGAACACATATTTTGTCCTTGCCAACATAATCAAAAAGTGAAAGATTATGATAAAGACGAAAAATTTGTTCTCTCGGGGAGCTCTACTCCCTGAGATGAGATTGACGAGAATAGAATCCCAGAAATGGAACTCTGGAACGAATAGAGATATTTTCTCTATCTTTATTGCAGTCCCTATCGATTTCGGAAACAGAGAAGACAGCAAGTGCCTTAGCGATAGGGGTAACGATCTCTATCCGATACAGAATCCCAGCTCAGGGTACCTATTCTTGAAACCAAGAACCAGCGTTCTCGTGAGAACGATTTCTCTTTCTTTCTCAATGACATGAAAATGATAATATGAGTAACACAGACACAAAAGCTATTCCCTTGTGAATGCTGCTCCCGAGGCTGCTCCCCTGTTTCAAGAATAAGGGCCCAGGAGAGAAGGAACTCCGTGAACAAAATTTCTCCTGCTTACCAAAAAAAAGCGAATAAGTGGCCCGATGCGAAAATTTTTGTTGCCCTGCAAAAAAAAATGGGCGCGTAACATTTGAATATATACAGGTGAATTCCTGACAAAAATAGGCAACTTTCACATTTTTAAATTAATCTGTTAGTCATACTGATATCATCTGTATAGTTTTTTTCTAAAAAAAAAAATTATTTTTGAAAATAAAATGATTTGAAAAACGAATTTTCGAACTGCTGCGAAAACGCCGGATAGGAAAGGGACGTCACTTTCCCAAACCTGCGAGGATGCCGAAGTTCTCATTAGTAAACCATTTCAAAATATAGCTGATAAAAAACTAGTTACCACCTATGACCTATTTTCGTCCTTGACTACTTTATAAAAAAAGAAAGTATAGGTATAATCGGTGAACTCTGGCTACCTAGTAACATGATCCTAAAATCTTTCGTCATTTCTAATGTGGCAACATGCGCATGAATGCTTTGGTCAATGAGAGGCACGTGAAAATCATGCGCAGCTTTTTTTTTGGTCAACACTTTTTGTTAACAGAGCCCCCCCTGAACCAAAACCCTGGATACGCCAATGAACCTCTCATTCCTGGCCTACTGACTGGTTTGTGATTTCTGCAGAAACAGACCTGGGGCCGATACTTCTGTTCTCGATTAACGAATTTGATACGGTGTCAAAGTTTTGCATGGGCCAAGATCTATAAGTTTGATGTGGCTAGAGCACATTCAAACCCCTGATTATTTTTAACAGGTGTCAAATAAAAGCTAAAGTACCGGCACCTATAGTCGCTCCTTGAGGTTTTCTCAGACCTTAAGGAGGCCTTGAACGTTTAGAATTGACATGACTAATTTGTCAAATAGTAGCAGCAAGTGTCCATTCTAAACTCAGGACCTTCAAGGTCAAGGAAGACCCAAGGAACGACTATAAATTCGGCCTACATTAATTAACATTCTAAAACAACTATTTTTCAGCAGATATCGTTTGCATCTTCCTATTTGCCTATTATGTTAATCAAAATTAAATAAAATAATATCTTTCATCATAAATTTGAATTCTAAACTACAACCGCAGGCGCCAACAGCTGACGTCGCTGACGACTTAGTTAATGACGTCGACAATGGTGATACATCAATATGGCGGCGATTACCAAAAACTACAGTGACTTTATTACCACAGTGGCGACAATTGCGGTCTCATTTTTGATTGGTTCAAAAATCCCATATGTTTATATTGAAAATGCCGCCATCTTGTTCCCAACCTCTTGTTACTTTTAAATATGAATATATAGGATTTAGGTGAACATCCATCATAAAACATGGAAAACAACGTATTTGATGAACCTGATAATGGTCATCAAATATGCCGATTTTAATTTTTTATGATAGATGTCTATTTAAATCTTATATATTAATATTTGAAAGTAACAAGAGGTTGGGAACAAGATGGCGGCGGGAACTCTATTGTCGCCACTGTATGTAAAGGTTTATATAGCCACTGTACCAAAAACGAGGCCGATAAACGTAGTGTGTAATATCCTTGGCCTCGGTGTACTATTTATGAACGCACCTTAGTTTTCAAGCGCCACCTAGGCGGGGTTTTAGAAACCAACTTATTAATGAACAAAATTTAATTATTGAATTATCTTCATATTCAGTGTTGATTAATGCTCGTTAAATGTTGATAAAGTTGATAATAATTATAAATTTTTGTATTATTTGTAGAATCTTCATTTCTTTAGTGACATTTCTGAATATTTTACCGTTATCTAGTCATGAATCGTAATAAAAACTTGTCGTTCGACTGTCCGGTGGTAGATGGCGCCACCGTTGAGCCAGGTGACAAACCATTCCTGTCACAACATATGTTTTTCGAATTCAAGGCAGGCTGTCGACTGTCTGCTCTGCTCTTTGCCTGAATATTTCCAACACAAGAAAATAGACACCAGCACAAGACACCGGCCATCTTTTTGATTAAAACAACAGTGTTTGAATTGGTTTCGCCATCAAAATTTTAACAGTATTTTAATGTCAGAACCACAGTCCGCCTTATTACTTAGAAAACAGCTAGCAGGTCAGTACCCAAGCCTCCGAAAACGTGCCTCAAAAATGAACCCAGCCTCCATCAGCACACCAGCCTCAAAAATGTCGATCCCAAAGTCCTTCGGTTTATTAGTGGGTTCGATTTTTTTTTCACAACGTTGAGGCTTCTGAAATTTTTAAAAATAGTTTTTCCACAGAGGCTATTTTTGAGACACTTTTCCCAGAGGTTATTTTTGATTACATATCCTCTTTTAATAGAAATCAATAAGCATGAACTCGCACAAAAAAATAAATGTATTTTTTTTTTCTCTGTCTGGTTGAATGCTCTGTAAAGCCACATTTTCGACTAGAATTTATTCCAAAAATCCACGTGGTGATAAGTTATAATTCCCACAGACAAAGGACATACCTACTTTTTACAACCTTCTGTATGATTAATTAGTAATAAATTTCACAACTATCATTAGTAGTAACACTTCCTACAAAGAACGATTTTTTTTCACTTTCCCAAGGTTAGGCTAGGATTTTATGCACTTGAAGCATTTTGCTAAAGTGGTTTGTTTATAAAATGTTACCCGTGAGGTTTGGTAACCTCAATTAACAATTTATACAATACACCACTCATCACTCACAACATTGGCAAATGCAATAAACATTAAACATGATAAATTATTAATTGCACGAAATTATTGATTTGGCTTGGCATAGATTTGCCCGTCAAAACACACCCTGTTTATATCGAGGGAAATATTTGGTTCTAACTTCTGAACTAAAACAAGTATCAAGCAGTATTATATTACTACACACAATATTTGATTTGGTATAAATCTGCTCAATAGACTCAATTTGTCTTACGATTTGTCGTACGATAAGTATTCACTTAGTGGAGCTTTGAATGTGACTCTTTTAGAACTACCTAGAGTCACATTTGGAACTCCACAAAGCTCAAGCATCGTCTAAGTTATAGCTGTGCAATGCAAAATAGAAAAGAAAAATAAGTGAATCACAAAGAATCAAACATTTATAAAAAATATATCAAAAGAATGCTCTACAATACAGATACAAATTCAGAAGGTTAAACCACTGCTTGGAATCTGTTGATAAAAATGGTAGGTAATAATTTTAATGAATGTCTATAAAATTACCGAGAAAATTACCCAAAACAATTAGGTATTGGTATTACATTTCTCATAAAATTTAATGATCAATGCTCATATTACTCATATTAATAATTATTGTTTTACAAACAAGTTTTTTTTAGTAAGAGTTAAATTTATTAGTAAAGTATAAGCAATATAGACATAGAAATATAAACATAAACTATGTGAAATAATAATGATGCTACATTAGAAATACTTTCCTTTAAAAATTCTGATAATTTATGTTTTTTTTTTGTTTACACTGGTATTATAGGGCAGTTCAGTGCAAATCACCGAGACCCCAGGGACTCGAGGGGTCGCGCATTTGTTATAAGTACCTATTTTATTGAATTCATAATAATTTGAAGAAAAAAAAAATGTTTTTAAATCTTTGGAAATTGTAGTACAAGTTTATAATAAAACGTTTTCCGCTAAAAACCTAAGGTTGTCGAACTTGTCTGTCTCAGGAGGCCCCAAAATATCTTGCATTTTATTGATTGTGTATTCTTCTGGGCAATCCCTATTCTCAAGATAAAGTTGGGGGAAAAATTGAGGAAAGCTCATTAATGCCTTCTTGAGAAACAGAGTGGTAACAGATAAGTAAATACCAAGGTAAACAATTACAACATAAATTCTTTTTTTCTATTATCATGCGTACTTATAGAGGACTCACTTTACGGTTTATGCACTATTCAAAAGACGTAAAATGTCACTTCACGCGCTAGTGCATAAAGTACAATTCACTTTACATACTATTACGTGAAGTACCTAATGTCAATGACAGATGTTGACATTGTCAATTTAGTATTTTTTTAGTAAACTTCTTCAAGCACTAGTGCGTAAAGTGGCAACGTGTGTGTAAAGCATCTTTTCTCAGTCATGTGATTGTCAAAATCCACATTCGTGTCAAGTTCACTTTACACACTTGTTGCATAAATAGCTATTGAAGGCATTGCGGGGGGGGGTGGTTACTCTAAAATCTAATCAGTCGCTTTAATCTAATCTTGCACCGAAGCCCCCTGATGTCAAATTGCGCTACTGTTTGTATATCTCCTCTGTCAACGAGAATTTTGTTCTTAGACAATATAGCTATTTATACAATAAGTTACGAAATGAGCGTCTTTTAGGCACGCGACGTGAAAATTGTCCAACGAGGCAAAGCCGAGTTGGACAACACGTCGAGTGACTAAAAGACATCGTTTCGTAATGTATTGTATACAAGATTTTTTCTACTGGCATTTTATAATAAAAAAACACAATTTTATTTCATGTGAATAAGTCGATTACACCCAAAATCTTTGTTACCTGCTTTTACTTGACACCTGACACTTTTCATGTGATTTTCTTTTCAAAATTCGACATCAATAATTAAAATCCTAGAAAGTAGGTAATAACACAAAGTTCTGTTTTGAGTAACCCAAACGTTCAATTCAGTAATTCCATTTTCAATATTCATAATAAATACAAAACAAAATTCAAATATGTGTTCAGTGTGTTTTTTATTTCTGAATAATGAATGACACTTTTAGGCACTAGTGCTTAAAAATTACTTTTACGCACTCATAAGTCACTTTTACGCATTCAAAAGTCACTTTTACGCACTGAGTGCCTAAAAGTAACTTTCACGCACTCAGTGCCTAAAAGAATGTCGTTTCAAAACTGAAATGACAATCGAAAAGTTGCTATTATGAAACGTCAGTAGAAAATAGCTATTTATACAATAAGTTGCGAAATGAGCGTCTTTTAGGCACGCGACGTGAAAATTGTCCAACGAGGCAAAGCCGAGTTGGACAACACGTCGAGTGACTAAAAGACTTCGTTTCGTAACGTATTGTATACAAGATTTTTTCTACTGGCGTTTCATAATAAAAAAACACAATTTTATTTCAATGTTTGTCACCTGCTTTTGCTTGACACCTTTCATGTTGGTGACTAATATTCATAATAAATACAAAACAAAATTCAAATCTGCTTTTAGTGTGTTTTTTATTTCTGAACAATGAATGACACTTTTAGGCACTAGTGCTTAAAAGTTACTTTTACGCACTTGAAAGTCACTTTTACGCATTTGAAAGTTACTTTTACACACTGGAAAGTCACTTTTACGCACTGAGTGCCTAAAAGTCACTTTTACGCACTGAGTGCTTAAAAGAATGTCATTTCAAAACTAAAATGACAATCGAAAAGTTGCTATTATGAAACGTCAGTAGAAAAAAGCATTTTTTGACTTTTTTGACTTTGATAAAAAAATATACATGATAATACATGCTTTATATATGGCGGAGTATATTGCTTTATCAGAACTATGAATTTAACTGGAGATTAAATTTGAGCGGGCTTTTTAATCATGGATTAAATTCAAAGTTGGTGTCAAATGATAGTTTATGAAAAAGTAAGATAAAAATTAAAGGATCGGTTCTGCTTTAAAAATAACTGTTTAGGTTTTACAGTCTGTCAAAGATGCAAAAAAGTCAATTTTCAACTGTCAATATTTCTGAAACAGTTGAAGATAGGTATATGACATTGTACATGAAATATGTCCAGCATTTTCAGCAGAATCCAGAAATGTCATAATATACAGGGTAATCTATTTGAAAAAAACAAAGTTTCTGATATTTCCCAAAAAACGAAAGATCTCACAACCATGTAAATACTAATTGTGAAAGGCTTTCGCGGCCATCGTCCAATGATGAGTGGGTGTTCGGGCTGTAATGTCTCAATGTAATGACCGTTTCACCTCTTTCTGGTTGATAGATTTCAATGATATGAACAGCATCATTACCTCATTGCCCAATAAAGGAAGTCCAGACGAATATAACAGCAGAGTTTATTAAAAAAACAAAAAACAATCCCTTTTGAATTTAATAAACACTTCTTTAGACACTGGTAAATTACCATGTATGTTAAAAACATCAACAATAATTCCAGTTCAAAAAATTAGGGGTTCTATAAATGCAGTTGATTTTAGACCAATAAGTAAATCTTCTGGGTGACAGTTGAAAATATTCTGGATCTCGTATACAGTTAATTGATGGAGTACATTAATTCAAATAGTACGGCAGTACAAAATATTCTGTATGAATGGAAAAATCTTCTTGATGATGACTATGCTGTGGGAGTTGTGTTTTTGGACTTATTACAGCGCGCGTTTGAAACTTTAGATAGAAGTAAATTTGGAAAACTGATCTTATCTCATTTTATGAATAGTGCAACAATACTATTCACTGCCAACAAAAATTAGATGAATCGCCTGCAAAAGTTGCAAAATAGAGCTATGCGTATAATATCGAAGAGAAGAAGGGACACACATATAGTAGTATCATTAGCTATAAAATAAAAAATGGAATTACATGACTATTTGACAAATAAATTGATCACCATTGGGGACATTCACAACTATGCAACTAGAAATAGAGACAATTTTTAAGTTGCAAGAAAGAATAAATCACTTTCTGAGAAAGCAGTATACCATAAGAGGTTAATGCGTTGCCCAATGACATAAAGAACTTGCCAACCATTGGAATGTTTAAGGGGAGACTTAAAGAATACTTGAGGGGGGATTGATGCAAATGAAAAAATATGTCATTTCATGTTATATTGTACTTCCTTAGCTCAGAATTGTTCAATGATCTTCACATTGTAAGATGGTAAATTATTATATCTCATGTATCCATTATATTGCTGTATTATCGTATCAATTTTTTTGCATTGAATTAGGTGAAGTCTACATAGAGCAATTATTATAAGAACATAGAACATTTAGACTCACCTACTCTTGAAAATTATTATAGTCACTGGGAATATTTACATACAATTTAGACAGAAAGTTATATAATCGCATAAAATACGACATTCTTCATTCAGTTATTTCAAGCATTTAAAATAGTTATTT